GTCAAATGACGCGATTAACCCCGTGATACTGTGTGATACCGCGACACGCCCACCGGGGTATACCGCGAAATACCCCACCCATTTTGAATGGCTGCATCTGTATTCATAATTCATCATGTTTTGTGCAAAGCTTCATCGATAAAGGGGCAAGGTTTATGTGTAGAGATGTCATCTTAACATACACAAATATTGATGGTTGCTGTTTTTGTTAGGATGCCTGAATACTGCCGATGTATGTTTTAGTTTATTTTTGTAAATAAGAGCAAACTCCTCACACCGGGGACACCGATTACCAGCTATCCAATAATGGATTTTGTTTTTCAGGTGTTTTAAGCCATGTGCACGAAAGAAACAAGTGGGCCTTCTTCTTTAATGTTGGTGACCTAAAAACAATCAAAATCAAGAAAGAGGGCTGGCCATATCTAGTATTTTGCCTTAAAGATGAGACATCCTTACCTGCTCTTCATTTCCATCAAGGAGGCAGTGAATTGTTTTTGGATTGCCTTAAGAAACATGTGCTGCTAGACGAGTAAGTACAAAATGGAAAGATTTCATGTCTTTTGCTGCTATTCTGGTGAAAGTGCTTTTAATTAATTATAACTAAGTCGCAAAATTGATGCTGGGCTCTTTACATTATTAAAGTCTTAATTGAGCTAAAACGCCACTTGAGTTTTTGAAACTCATTTTTATGCTCAAAAGATACATTTTTAGTAACTGAAAATAGCGTTAAAATGACTACTTTTATCAGGATTGACTAGGACTTCAGGTTTCTGTTCAAAAAGCAGCAGGAGTGTGAACCATGCTCAGTCTTGGTAACCTAATTTCTGTTCAGTCTGCATTTGCATCTTCATACCCAAATACCTGAGATTTCCTCAGCTTTGGTATGTAGCTGTCCTACTGCAGTGAAGGCTGAGAGGCCTTGAGTCCACCAGGGAGTCATTAAGTGCTGCATCACCCTTCCTTGTTTGCACTGTGGCACTTGTAGCATGTAGCAATGGCAGATGGTTTGACAGGACATGCTTTGGAGGAAAGCTTGTATAGTCCTCATCCACAAAGGCGGTAGTAGAACAGAGTATGCACTGCAGTAATTGCACGGTAAAAAGTATTCAATAGTGTATTTAAAACATAACAAAAGGAGGTATTGGGAAATGTAAGTAAGTTGCTTCAGCATGCAAGTAGGGCTGGGCGATATGGCCAAAAACATTATCACGATAAAACTTTTCATATCAGTCGATATCGATAATTATCACGATAAATGTCAAATCATTATTTCTTTCAAGTTTAAAGGCAGATTTTTTCTCCTGAGTGAAAGTTGAAGAAATCAGACAGTTAATTGGTAAATTAAACAGCTCTTTATTTTAAGAACACAACAAACACTTGCCAAACAGCAGAAACATTAAACAAATCTGAGGTAGAGAGTTTTCAAGTCTTTTTTATGTCAAGATATGCATGAGTAAAATTTACAAAATAAATATCTTAATAGAAAAATTAAATACTGCAGTGTGATAAAACACACATAGAAGATGGCTCAGACAGACTGCAATGTTTAAAGTGCTCTGTTTTATGTCTGAAAAAGCCAAAATATTATTATAATACCGAAGTTGAATTACCTTTTCTGTCGACGATGTCATGGTCCTTCGAGCTGGTCATTGGCAGCACTGCATTTGCTTCAGTGTCGCTCATTTCTCCACTCTATAGTCCTGTCAGCCAGCACCACTGTGTGGGTAAACAACACCACGTTAGCTGCCTGGTCTGCAAAGCATAAACATATATATTGAATATTTATCGAACTTTTGTTAAAAATATATAGCGGAAAATTATATTGCGTTAATTATCGTTATCGAATTATCGCCCAGCACTACATGCAAGCTATAAATGAACAAGTAGGGCTCGTGCTTTAGCTGTGGACACTTCAAAACCATGAAACAAACAGCCTTTTTATTTTGTAATGTTCACTATGTATTTTATATTCAATGGGATATTCCTTAGCTTTTAGGTGGTAATAAAGTCTTGTACTAAGGTATTAGTGAATGATAAGGAAGTAATCACCATCTAATTTGTACTGATGTATACATTTATAAAATAGGGTGTTAAACACCGTTAATGACCTGCCATATATTCATAAGAAGGGCTCTTATTTTCAGTATTGGTTTCCCAGCTGCCTACTCTTTTAAATATTAGTAGTGACTCAGTCTTTCATAGATCTTAATTTTAGGAGAGATATTTATTGCGCTTTGATATTAGGATGTTTTTATTATTAACTAAGATTTTAAATGATGTACATGTACTACATATCCATTCTGCTGCCATGAACATTTGTTGGGACTTTCCATTTCACTGTTGGCGAAAGTAAGCATACAGCCATAAACAATCCTGGATCACTGGGATCAGTGGTCAGCATCAGCTCTTATCTGTACTTCAGGGATTGATTAGGCAAAGCACTTGGTGACCTGTTGTACATCTCGATTACATTCTGCATTCCATTCTATTAAAATATGAAAGTCTTGTTCTTAAATCATTGAGTACAAGCCTAAGCTTCCAAGCTATAGTTTGCATTATGAGTTGCAGATCCACGACTTCAAGTTCCAGGTCTAGGTCCAAGAAAATCTCAGTTTCAAATTAAAACACTTATCCACCTTGCAAGAATACAGAATACACTAAGAAATGAAGGACTGCAGAAAAAAACTAATTCCGAGTTTTAAAGCTGTAGTAGATTACCTAGATTAAGGATGTTGAATATCTGAATCAGATTATTTTACAATCTTCTCTGTTAAATACTTAAAAGGTTAATTTTACCCTTTGTGGGTTAGATATTCTCCTGATCGTACTAGTATATTGTGCAAGTGTAATTTATATATTCTTTGCTTTGAATTATATACCCCAACATTATTCAATATGCCCGTTTTTTGTTTTCCAAATGATTTCTCCAAAAACACCCTTTTTGTCTCTTAAGTAACCTCTTCAAGGTCTGTGTTCCTCATTTTTTATATATGTAGTTTGTTTTTACTACCTGTGTCAACACCCTACAATTGTCACATTACATGCTTTCTGCCAAATGTTTGCTCAGTCCCTTTTTATTTGATTTGAGACTAAATGCACATGGTTTTGACAAACGCTTTAACACTTAAAAAAAAACAAACTGCACAGCTAATGCATTGCACAAAGGATTAATTTACCTCTCACTTGCAACACAGTGTTTGCTGCTGTTCAGGATTGCCAAAGATATCCTGGTTGACTTGAAACCCACACAGCCCCATCGATCTTCAGCCAAATGTGCGTCCTCCAAAATCATTGAATGACGTCGCATAGGATTTTTTATGCTTGGTAGCTAACAAGTGAATAGGACAGATAAGGCTTTTACTGGCATGCTTTTAAAAAATTGAATACTGTGTGACAAGTAAGACAATTCCAGGACTGTTTGTTTCTGAAAGAACACTGTAATTTGAAGAGCTCAAGCTGAAATCCTTTATTAATACTCTTCTTATGAAAAATGCTTTTGGCTGAGGGATGGTGTTAACTAACTGTAACAGTAATTTGGTGGTTTCCTTTCCGCGGTGAATAGATCTTAGTTCCAGAACTTAAGTAGCAAAATATAAACATCAGTTCCAGGGCAAATATATGTGTACTGAAGTGCATTATTGTAGAAAAAAAAACTGGTTCAATCTGAAGTGTAATTTTGCCCATTAATAAAACTGCTGGACTTGATTACTAATCGAAAATGTGACTTGAAACCTGTGCGTACTGTTTTAGATAGTCATTTCTGATATTTTATGAAATGAGAAAGGTTCTTCTCCAGGGAATAGTGAATCAGTTCATGCTGTTTTCTTTTGCAACATGGTGAAATGTTTACCATTCATTTTGTTTTGTAAATGTAAAAGTATCTGGCAAATAAAATGGCTATAAATGGCTGTAAGCAAAAGGAAAACATGGCATTTCCCTATCCATAAGCGAAGTAGGATAAAACTGACTCGTTTAAAACCTTTCTTCAGTTCATTTTTTTAAAATGCCATTAGTGCCCATCAGGATGATTTAGCCTTGTCCATAAAAAAGGATGTCTTAAAGGTTGTGAGTGTGAAGTGTGATAATGTCTCAGATTTGTTAGCAGAAGACGATTTTTTAATTTGAAAGTGCACGGCTGTAGATAAAAAAGTGGCTTCTTGATTTCGTAGTTCAAACATACAGATTAAAATGGTTATTGACCATAAAAGGTAATTTATACAGTCAGCGTTTTCAAGGTATGCTCGTGATTGATTTATGATTTTATTGGTCATTGAAGGATTTAACTCAATCTCTAAGGCTACTTGCAGGTTCCTGAAAATGGTAGTTGAAAGACAAAATGTTGTTTATCTTAATTTAGGTACTTGATACACATCTGATTTAACTTTCATGAGGCAATGATGCTTTTCTGAGGCTGAAAATGCAGTCCCTCCCTAATCCTGCAGAGTATCTCAGAGCTTTGAAGGCTTGTTTTTCACCATTTTATAATGTCATTAAGTGGGTAAAGAACATACCGACTCTGAAGTTTGTGGTATAGCAATTTAAACATTTTGTAGTTTTGAAACTCGCTGTTAACTAATGTTGATAATGTTTCAGATTCTTTACATTTGTTTTTCAAATTATTTAATGTACATGTTGGTGTCTGATAATAGTAATAATAATAATAGCTTACATTTAAATAGCGCTTTTCAAAGCGCTTTACAGGCAATGGGGACCCCTCCACCACCATCCACCTGGATGATGCGCCAGAACGCTCACCACACATTAGCGATCAGTGGGGAGGAGAGCAGAGTAATTAAGCCAATTTGTACAGGGGGATTGTTAGGAGGCCATGAGTGATAAAGGCCGATGGGAAATTTGGCCAGGACGCCGGGTACACCCCGTCACTACACTGGGGCATTAGGACCCACATGTGCCACAGGGTTAGCGCTGACGCCTCTTCCAGCAGCAACCTTAGTTTTTCCCAGGAGCTCTCCCATCCAGGTACTGACCAGGCTCACACCTGCTTAGCTTCAGTGGGTTGCCAGTTGTGAGTTGCAGGGTGATATGGCTGCTGGTAGTATCTGAGTAGACAAGGAATAACTATACAGATGAATACAAATGCTGTGAGCAGTCAGATTTAGGATTTTTTAAATAGATTATTTTCTTGTTTCTGTAATTTATTGAATTTAATTTATATTAAAAATTAATTTAGTTTAAAAAAATATGCAGAAACCTACATGTTTTTTGTTTAAATTCCTTGCTTCTAGTATGACCTAGGATCCTTGCACTTATATACCTTGGTATTAGATAAATTGTAGAATCAGCCCAAACAATAGCAAATATATTTTTGGAAGTTCAATGGTATGTCCAAGTTTGACAGTCTAAAATTAATTAATTAATGAATCAAATAAATTAAGTATTCACAATCCTCAAAGGCATTGACAAAATTAACTTCACAGACGTACTTTGAAAATGGAAAACAGTGTCGTACTTTTTTTGCAAAGGTCTGTGGAAGTCTGGAAAAATTTACCAGACAAGATGGAACCTGAT